TAACATGAGGCTGTGGCAAGCTCTCGAAAGACGAGAGGATCCAAGAAACGACTTGGAGGTCTACGCAGCCCGTATCCGGGCCTTGTATAAGGCCAAGTTATCAGCACATCCCAGGAGGCCAGAATCCGGCCGATTTTTATTCTAGGAGACACCGTCTCCCCTCTTAAAGAGTTTTTAATTATTCAATCATCATAATTTTTCTTCTTGAAAAGCAAAGGCATTTTGAACATTGAACTGCACTTACACTTGAACTTGGTTACTATTCCATATGGTTGATACTCGGTCGACAATGGACGTACATAAAGAGGCCCGCACCATTATTCTTGAAGCGAATAAGAGCGGAAACATGGATGTGGTTAGGGTTCAGGCAATCCCGCCTAAGGTATGGGGGGAAGTTTGCACGACCCTCGACTGTCAGAGACTACTTCAATACAACAGGGTGCTACTGACGACATCGTTCATCAAAGAGTTAGAGGCGGTGATCGTGGCTAAGGAGAAGGCTGAACAGCCTGCCTTTACCCATCGCAAGATTCAGGAGGCTGTGCCAGCACAACCCGTACGACCACCAGTCCTCGATTTGACATCTATACAGAGTCAACAACCGATGAACGCGCAGCCCGTATTGGAAGAAGTGTACTACTCCGACAGAAGCTCCGACGGGCATAGACGAGACCGACGACATACGCTGACGACTGACGAGTGGTCCCACATAGACTATATGATGGGCGACCCAGGGCAGATGCTGAGTCAGTTGAAAGGTGTGCGGATGTCGCCCGATAAAGCCTTCGAAGTACGAAACAAGATATTGCGGAAGACACTGGTTGACCCAGAGATTGACGACTCAGACAAGCTGATTACTAGGATCAACCAGTTGATAGACCAGGGACTGATATCACACGACTTATCAGTAAACATATTACTGAGTTGCATAGCGTATGGTAAAGAAGGTACCATGCATCGCATAGAGACCGGGCAGATTCTGAAACCGCTGGGGGTATACAACGTGAGCTCGAGAAAGAGACCTGACGAACGAAAAGCGAAGCCTCAGGCTAAGCAGAACGCTGCTAACGCTACGTATAAGAAAAAGTACCCAGCGAATAGTTCCAACCAGCCCAGACGAGGC